CCATGTTCAGTCTCAATTGCTGTGGGGGGGGGCATGGGGGCGGGGCTAGGGCTGGTGAGGCTGACCCAAGGATTGAACCTTCAGCCCCTGCGCCTGCTTGCAGGCGCTTTAATCTGCTGAGCTATTTGGCCAGCCCTTAGTTTTATTTTTGATCATTAGTATTCTACAGAATGCTATTTTCCAAAAAAAAAAAAATTAGGGGCTGGAGAGATGGCTCAGTGGTCTAAAGCACCTACTTGAAACAAGCTTGGCAATGCACAGGGACCGCGGTTCAATCCCCCAGCACCACATGCCAGCCAGTCCCGCCCCCTGGTGGGCTGAGCTGGCCACACACACACACACACACACACACACACACACACACATAAATAAATAAATAAATGTAACAAAAAAAATTAAATTTAAACCTTTATTTTTTTAAACTCATGTGTTGTTTTTTTGCGTTCTTATGGAGGATGATACAAATTAATGTTTTTTACAGAGTAAATAGAATTGTCAAGAGTTTCCTAATAGTCTTGTCACCTAATCCTAAATTGTAAGCAGTATCTCTATTGTAAGAAAACAAAACATTTCAGGGCGGATCATCTGCTTGCTTATGATTAGGACCAGGATCAATTTATTAGGCTATTGCAAATTTAGTCTATAAATTCAGGCTCTGAGCCTCTGGCACTCAGTTTTGAGTTTGTTGCTGCCCTTGTAACAGCATGGACCAGAAGTTACGATATTGAGCTTCCCAGTCCCATCTTTTAAATGACATAACTTTGGTATAAGAATTCCTAAATTGGATTTGTTCTCAAACTTAAACATTTCAATGAGTGTTAGATGGTGGATTTTGGTTGGGTTTTTTGTTTTTTGGTTTTTAGTGTTTTTTTTTTTGGCAGAACCGGGGATTGAACTCAGATCCTTGCGTTTGCCAGTCAAGCACTTATCCTACTGAGCCATTTTCCCGGCCCCGAGATGGTGTTTTGAATGCTGGAAAACTCAAGAAATACCCAGAAATAGGGACAGAAAGACTCACACATTCTCAGAGCTTGTCCCAGGTGTACAGAGTCATGCTGAGTTCATAATCTCTATCTGTTCTGTTCAGAAATCCCCAAGAGGCTGGATTGGTAGGAGCTCACACAGTATGGTAGTTGTTTCATAGTGGTCTTTTTTTTTTTTTTTTGGCGGAACCAGGGATTGAACCCAGGCCCTTGCGCTTGCCAGGGAAGCACTTATTCCACTGAGCCATCTCCCCAGCCCCTTCATGGTGGTCTTATTTTCACAGATCTATCTTTGATTTGATGGAAGATTTTTCATACTTTAAAATTGTACTTTCTGGGCTGGGGGTGTAGATAGTCAAATGGCAGAGTGCTAGCCTAGCGTGCACAAAGTCTTGGTGTCAGTGCCCAGCAGATAGATGACAGATATATAGATGGATGAATATTTAAATTGACAGATTGATAGACTGATAAAAAAAATAAAATAAGGGCCAGCCAAATAGCTCAGTGGAAGAGTGAGGTATATAAAATAAAGCCATATTAATATGCTAAGCTGTGAAAGGCTCAAGTCAACAACTTCTGTGGATAACCCACTACTGTTGTGGACTGCTGGGCTGTTTTGGATTGTTTTGCTGAATTCATGTACTTATAGTATTTAGATGCCAATGGAATACCCATTTATGACAGGACTAAACAAAAAAAGGGCAATACAAAGGAAGGACCATTTTGTATCTGTATATGCAAAATTGTTAGGATAGATATACAGCTACTTTCGCTTAATTCAATGAGAAGAAAGATTTGTACTAATGGTGTTTGGACAGGATGTTCTGTCTGCATCTTGTACTGCGGATGACCATTGAGAAGATAACAGTGAGCAATGTATTAATTCTTGAGACTGTCCTGTTAATCAGTTTTGAAACTGTCTCATTGATATTTGTTTCTCAATAAAATAAAATAAAAAATAGGAAAAAAACGACAAATAGCTCAGCAGATTAAGCACCTGCAAGCTGGCACAGGGGCTGGGGTTTCGATCCCTAGGCCTGCTGTGCTGGCCCCACCCCTGGGGCTCACTGAGATGACATTTGAGACTGGGCACGGTAGCGTGCCTGTAATCCCAGCTCTTGGGAGGCTGTAAACAGGCGGATCACTACAAGTTCGATCTAGTAGTGAGACCCTGAACACCCTATAGACCCTTCCCTAAAATACAAATAAAATAAAATAGGGACTGAGGAGGCAGCTCAGTAAAATAAGTGCCTGCCTGGCAAGCACAGGGTCCTGAGTTTAATCTCTGGTACCACGTAAAGAAAGAAAGAAGGAAGGAAGGAAGGAAGGAAGGAAGGAAGGAAGGAAGGAAGGAAGGAAGGAAAAAGAAAGAAAGATTCTTTTAAATTCTGTTACATACTAAGTTAACTACAAGCAACAATAATTTGTCCTTAAAATATTTATTGGTTATAAATCTTGGGCAATGTTCTAAATATTGAATTTCCTCCCTCTTTCTCACCCACCCTCCCGTTTTTTCCTTCCTTTCTTCTGAGACAGGGTCTACTCAGCGTAATCTGGCTTGAAACTCACAGTGATCCTTCTGCCTCACTATCCCAAATGCTGGGAGTACAGTGGTGCACCACTATACCCAGTTTATTAGATGAATTTTAAAAGGAATTCTTTTTTTTTTTTTTTTTTTTT